CCCCCCCCCAAAAAAAAAGGCAAGATATTGAAGATAGGTGTTTATCATTTATAACATTCTATGCGCAGCATTTACAACGAATGACAAATCCAGTAATAAAAGTTTGCTTTCCGTGATTGTTCAGTGATTGTTCAGTGAGTGTTCAGTGATGGTTAAGTGATGGTTAAGTGATGGTTCAGTCTACCTTCCCATGGTCTAGCAGAAAATTCAGAAAATTCATTCTCATTTTTCATGTGTGGTAAAAATCGAAATGGGAAAAAAAAAACAAGAAGTGGGACTGCTGCTTTGTGCTCAAAAACTGTGTGTGCGTGTGTGTGCGTGGGTGTAGAGCATGTCCTACCGTAGTTGGATTCGGTCTCTTTTCCGAGAGGCCCCTGCAACAAATTTGCAAGGGCTCATCGCCAGACACAGCTGGTCGTCGTCGATTGAATTATGAGAAGGGCAAGAGAGGGCCAACAAATGTATGCTCTGATTCGAATTCAGGTCTGTGTTTCAGTGGTTATGGGTTACTAGCTCAGCTAGGCCCTGCTGGTCTATGCACTTGATTCCTAGGCTACCAGCCGGGCCGCCCGGGTCCTGGGTGGCCAGCCCGTGCAAGTTGCCTCAGGGTCAGATCGAAAATTTTCACCAAATTTAGAATAAAAAGTAGAACTTTAAAATAATTCTTTTATTTCCATTTTAGTATTTGTTTTTACTTTTTTTTGGCCCAGCTGGCCAAGTGACCCCGGGCCACTCTGGTAGCCTAGCTTGATTCTCGTTTTCTCGTTTTTTTTTTTTTTTTTTTTTTGCCACATTCATTGCTCATTGTTTTCCTTTTCTTACAAAACACAAAAACATACGGCGCCGTATTGTTCCATGTTCCAGAGGAAGATTCATACTAGTTTTGCACATTTGTGTGTGTGAATTGTGGAGAGAAGCTCTGAGAATGACGTGCAGAGACCAACAGGACCTAGCGAAGTTAGTAACCCATAACTGGCGGAACACAGACCTGATTTTTTTTCATTTTTCATTTTTCTTTTTAGACCTGAATTTTTCGAATCCAGAGCATGTATTGTGGGCCTGCTCGTGTAGTACTACCAATTCAAAGCACGCCTCTGCTCGAGGGAAGACTTTGGTGAATCATTGGAAGGTCTCCTCGGATTTTCTACAGGAGCCCTCTAATTCACGTGAAGGGGCACCTCTCTCTCTCTCTCTCTCTCTCTCTCTCTCTCTCTCTCTCTCTCTCTCTCTCTCTCTCTCTCTCTCTCTCTCTCTCTCTCTCTCGTGTTAATACACAATACACCCCGCCGAAAGAAGAAAGAAAGAAAAAAAAAAGAGAGCATCATCAGCACAACCCTAATTTCTGCATGGTGCATGCACACTATAAGTGTGCGGCAAGGATTCAATGAATTTTCCGCTGGAACATGGGAAGGTACACCGCCTTTTTTTTTTGTCTTTTGTGCATGTGGTCAGTAGTGGAGCGAGGCCCAATGTTTGTTCTGGCAGTATAAACCAGAGATGAGCAACAGGTACGCAGACCCGCACCCACCTACACCCACCCCACCCACGAGGACATTGGGCCAGGTGCGGGTCTTGATAAGGTGACCTGGGTGGGATGAGGGTGGGTCAAGGCCAGGCAGCCTGGGTGGGTGACAGGTGGGTCAACATTAGGCCTGGGTCACCCAAGTGGGTGGGTGACAGGTGGGTGAGTGCTAGGCCTGGTCCTGACCCACAGACCCAGGACAACCCATGAGGACCCCCTCCGCCCCCCCCCCCCCCCCCAATCCCTGCACGAAATGTTCACCCGCCTAAAAAAGTCGAAGGTGCACGCACGAAATGTCAGGTCCCGCCGTCGGCCTGCCTGGAAAAAAAAAGGTCGAGGTCCTCCTGAAAAGAAAGAAGCAGGAAGTGCCAGGAACCTTCTTTCAAATTTTTTGCACGCTGCTCTTGCCTCTTGGCGGCTGCACCACGGCCCACGTTTGGATGAGTTACCACTTTCAAACGGGATGTTGAGTTTCGCTCCCATTAAAACAACAGACGGCGAACCCAACCACAACAGGTGGCAAGGTTCGCTCCCCACTTTTGAACTTCTGGAGCGCTTTGAATTTTGGCGCCGTCATCCAGCGACGGCACAACTTGTGCATGGTTCAGCAGCAGGGAGGAGGTGGCGGGGCGGTGAGGAGGGGGGCAACGCACCGACGGCCTGGGGAGCAACAACGAGGTCGCGAGCCACGCACTGACGTTGTGGGGAGCCACGCACTGACGGCGTGGGGAGCCACGCACTGACGGCCTGGGGAGCAACAGCACTGCTATGAGTGAGCAGCAGGAGAGAGAGAGAGAGAGAGAGAGAGAGAGAGAGAGAGAGGGGCAGACTCCACTTTTTCGCATCTCTCCACAAACACGCTCCGATTCAGGCGTGAATTCCGATGCTAGAGAGAGAGAGAGAGAGGGGCAGACTCCACTTTTTCGCATCTCTCCACAAACACACTCCGATTCAGGTGTGAAATCCGATGCTAGAGAGAGAGAGAGAGAGGCAAGGCCGTGACGTGGGCGATTCCTGTGAGAGAGACAGAGCTCTCTCTCTCTCTCTCTCTCTCTCTCTCTCTCTCTCTCTCTCTCTCTCTCTCTCTC